CTTACCTCAGTAGCTTTGCAAGCCCCACCCCGAGCTGACCAAGCCCTCCTATAATGATGAAAAGAAAAGGAAAGTTGTATTACTTTCGACAACTGTCACTGCGACTGTGTTGGAGGAAATGTAAGGCTAAACTGCATTAAAAACAAACGAATGAAAAGAAGCTATAATGCGTAAACGAACCAGTGATGAGGACTTTGGGGTGTTCAGTGTCAGTGCAGGGAGGAGGATGAGTTCCCCCAAAGTGTTGTGAAGATGAGCTGAAGCCACGCGCTGCTGAGATCAATCTCTCCACACTGAACTGGGGACTGCTCCCAGCATGCTTCACTGCACCCCTCAGCAACTGCTTCACGAACATCCTACACCTCCTATAGACAAAAGCATGCATTAACAGTTGTGGAAATGGTCTTTAATCATACATGCAGAAAAGCACTGGAGTCTTTTCTGTATTGAAGATATGTGAGTGCTTGAAACCACCAGGTGGCACTAGATACCATGCCATCAAGAAGCTTGTAGAGAACAGTGTGTACTATTGTAATTTAATAAAACCCTAGATTTTCACAATATGTACTAATACTGAATATTCTTACTATCAATATAATGTGTTCTAATTACTGTGTTGATACCACTGAAGGTTTATCTAATTTGTATTGCTTTTTATTATATATTTTTTTATTATATCATAACTTAGTTAGTCATATTTAACATATGTAACATTAAGCTGTCTGTGGCTGTTTTTCCTGCTGTAACTACACAAATGTCCCCTCCGTGGGACTAACAAAGTTATTCTGGGTTTGAATTAGCTTTACCAATGTGTCTAGGGTTAGAAATGTAAAGGTACATGGTGTGTAAATTAACAGTCACTATATTATATTGTGTAAATCAAGCATTGCCTAACCCCACACCCCCCTCATATTAGCTTCTTACAGCCTGTTGTGGACTGGGTCTAAATATAGACACACTTGATGTACATCCCAGACCACCCTTAATCTTATGGGGGCTGTCAGGTTTATGCAGCAATTCAAAAAACAACCATTTAGACCTGTAAAATAACACATGAAGGCAAATTAGAAAGTAAGAAGCCCTGAGATGCACATAATCCGTGTGTTATTATGATGTTTCAATTAAGATACATGTATAAATACGGATTTACAACTGGTTGGCTTCATGCATAACAGATGCATCAATTACTTGTATTTCTAAAAGTGGTATTGCAGCTATACTGTAACTTATTAAGATGCCAATTCAAAACAATGCCTAAAAGATTGTTTTAACGTTTTATTTAAATGTATATTTGTTGGAAAAACAGAAATACATTCAGCTGGTGTGCATGACGTTGACGTAACTTTCTTGCAGTAAACAGCACGTGTGTTAAAACACCAACGTGGCTAAAAAAAAACTGCATTAAGTAACCGTTAGCCTAGCTATTTATGCTTCATCTGCGATATCTAAAACTCAGTTAATCCGGCTGCACACGCTGGTAGAATGTATTGAATGAAACTTGTAGTAAAATCACATTTATCTCTTACTTTCAAGGTGAATTGGGGAAATGAAAGCTTGTAAATCCTTCACACAGCCGATGTTTGTGATGAAAAACGAAAATACACAATTTGTAGCTATGTAAGAGGTTAGTCGTATTGTGATTGGCTTACAGCTTTAGAGGCTTGGCTTCCGGGGCCTGCCCAAATAAAATACACGCTTCCTGTTATAACTTTCAAAATGAAATCCGCATTATATATTATTATACGTTAAACTACCCAGTAGGACTTTCACATTTGTTTACACTTTAGTTTATCTACTTGTACTTAAGTAACAATCTGAGTACTTCTTCTATCACTGGTTGGTAGTATTTATCAACTGTCACTCGTTATTTTCTTCATCTGTTATTTTTTTGTTTACTTGTATAGGTGAAACATCGCCCCCCTCATTGCAATGTTCAGTGAATGTCGCCCAGCGTGTGGCTGAACAATGACATTACACCCTTACAGAAATCTACCTGAGAGACGCCAGGTGAAGTTGATTAAAGAAAGTTAGACTAGTATAAAACACGAGGAGGTTTTTCAACTGTAACACTATTAATGTAATTATCTGTTAAATTACATTTTAAAGTGAAGTACCAAAACAGTAACACTGTCTTTAAACAAAAAATATACACATGTATAACAAGTATTCCATGCAACTACAGGCAGTTAGCTTGTTATTAACGACGACGTTTTTTTCTTTAAGCTAGCAGTGGCGGAGAAAGGACAATTTATCCCCAACAAACTGAATTAGCACCACAGAAAAAAGTGCAATTGGGACATGACATGAAATGGGAATTAAAGAAGACTGAAAGGACTTCGACGGCAAAATTGTAAGTCGTCTAAATTACAATTTATGTCCTTTTGTGCACGTCAGTTTACTCCTTGCTGCAGTGTTGTTGGTATTATTAATGCTTTATTTTCACTGTACTGAAGCTGTTGTGCTGTGGTTGTAAATATTGGTTTTATGTATTGTTTGTACAGTATTTACATCACTGTGTGTGATAAGTGAATGAGCTTGAGGTGTGTAAAGGTTCTGCTAACTGTGTAAGAAATCTATTGTTTGGTTCTTTGCTTGACTAGCAAGTGAAATACTGTTGGCCTTGTTGTTTGCATGTCATGCATACAGAAAGGACTGCAACTAATATATTTGTCACATAACATAAGCAACAATTATTTTCCTACTTTATTCATGTCTCTACTTTTTATATTTTACTGCTTGAATTGGTTTGAAAGATTAAGTTGCCCCTGTAAAATAAAAACAGTCACCTAAAAAATACCTTAATTTGATGCAAACCAAAGCATCCTCCCAGTTGTGAACATTTCCTAGAACAATGACAGCGTTATTAACTTAGTTAAGATGTGTTCAGGCAAACCCCATAAAATTAATGGAACACATTCTCCTCCTGTAATTAAGATGAAATTTGATGTCAGTCATAACCTTGCCCCTGCTAATTATGTACAAGTGATTTATTCTCTGATGCAAGCTGCACGATTAATCTTGTCTTGCATCCCTGACTGAATGGTGGACACGTGTGTGTGTGTGTGTGTGTGTGTGTGTGTGTGTGTGAGTGCGCGCAAACATCTATGCATGCATTTAGGATCTGACAAGTTCATTTTGAGCTGTAGTTCTGCAAGATTACTGTAGTGGTAGGGCTTTCAGAAAACATTTATTAGGATTTAGCACTGACGTTATTTGAGTTCTGACTTCAATATACATTATTTTGTTGACTGAAGTGATGACACAACTTTAGCTTGAAAACAATGACACTCTTTAACACAGAAAACTGCAGTCTTTTCTGTATTGAATGCATCCACCAGGTGGCACTATATACCAATAAATCCACAAATCAATAGGCTTTCATTTGTATTATCCTGCCTGCTGACAAATGCAAAAAAACATGTTCAAATGAGTTTTATCCTTTTTCAAATTCCTTCCTTCTCTTTTTTATGTGCTATCATTTCTAAAACCTGCTCTAACTTCAAAAGGTGATAATGAAACAACACAAAACCTGTGATATTGACAACAAATGATGTCATTTGTTTGTCCTGTAGTATTTAAACATGATAGTGGTTTGGAGTTGCTCAACTTTTGGTTCTTGCAGGAACCACTGTATTAATAACTGTGTACTAAAAAAGGCTAAAATACAGTGTAATTATTCAGGAATAAAGTGGGCAGGATAAAGCGGTCCTGTCTACCTCCACTTTGCAAGCTTTTGGAAATGAACCAATTCTTCTTGTGGACTCAGTTCCAGCCGTGAACAATGGGCCACAATAGATGATGCATGTCTTATTGTTCAATTGCCTGAATGGCCTCTGTTGTTTTTACCATTTGGGAAGTCTGCCAAATATCTGAAGACGGAGCATTCACAAATTCCAGGCTTGTTTTTGCTCTTTGTTGCCTTGTGTTAATGCCTGGAATAATGGGGGGGCTTTTCTTGCCGTGGCAGACTCGGGTCTCCACATGAGGAAGAAGATATTCTTTGTTTAAGTGGAAATGCTCTGCGGATATAATTATTGTTTACACACACAAATAGGAATGTAATTACCTGTACGTCCTGGTTGAATATAATTAATTTACACTTACAATAACACAATGAAGTGATGCCCTATAGTACTATTACATACACTGTCAATACATTAGTTACATATCAGCTTCCCTACAATGTGTTATTGTGGGAAACAGCTTTTCTCTTTGTACATTTGACTGGTCCTGATCACACAGAATCACATGAATACTCATATTGGGCATTAATGCTGAAAAGTTACCGTTTATTTGCTAAAAGGTTTGCAAAAGTGCCCTCACGGCAGCAGTGGAAACTACTAGAATTATGCATTCTCATTTAATACCAATTGATTTTATTCTAACTGTTGTTGTTGTTGTTGTTGTTGTTGTTGTTGCACACAGTAAATATTCTTCCTTGTAACTGGCAGTTAAAATTAAGTAAAACCATTACTGAAACTATTAAAAATATTCATTATGCAAAACGTCACCAGGTTATTACTATTAGAATATTAGTATTGAACAGCATTTTAAAGTTGTCAACGTGTGACTGCTTTTAAAATATAAAATAATATATATAACACAATGCATCATCATTTTTCCAAAATTAATAAAGCTGTTTTTCCTTAAATTCTCGGCACCATTTGTCGTGAAAATGAAACTGGTCAGAGTATTTCAAATGAGCAAAACAAAAGCCTCTCAGGTAAAACCCATCTCTATTAATGAATGAGCTGTCTTCCTCCTTATTGTGCCATGTTTAAAAATAGGTGTTTTTTAAAATAATACATTTACCACAAGGAACTGTATAAAAAAAAAAGCCTCTCAGGAAATAAATGTCACTCTATGTTTCCGAGCTCATATCGTAAGTGAATAAGCTCGGCTAATTCGCCATCATGCCTCCGACCACTAATGGGAAATAGTGGGGCCTATTTATTGCCATTAGGGAATTGAGGCTACATTCAGTGTGTGAGGGGTTAATTAGAAACAACTGAAGGGGTCAGGTGTGTGTGTGTGTGTGTGTGTGTGTGTGTGTGTGTGTGTGTGTGTGTGTGTGTGTGTGTGTGTGTGTGTGTGTGTGGAAAATAGGGTACCAGACCATATTCACTTATCACTGAGTCAGGTACTTCCTTGACATCCAGCGGGGCCCCGTTGGCTTCTCTCAGCCGCCTCTCTTGTTTTGTCCCTGCCTCTCTCTTCCCTCCTATCTATCTCCTTAATACTCACTCCTCACCCCTCCTCTCCTCCAGCGCTCTCAGCAGTATCTCCCCAGCCTCTCAGCCTCCCCATATTACACTCACAGATAAGAGAGGAGAAGGCCCCGACTGACAGGAGCCCCAAATTAATTTACAAGCCATGATGCCGTTGCCGCGCTGATAGAACAGTCTTTATACAATATGAAGGGACAGGCAGTGACGCCTCCACCGGGGAGAGAGTGCCGCGCTGCTATCTTTGTAATTATAGGCAGAAGCCCTGATCCCTCTCTGTCTCTTTCTGTCTATTCTTTTAGCCAATAAATGCTTAGAAAGAACCCCTCCGAGACAAACCCAAGCTTACCGCTACGGCAATGAAGAAATCAGTTTTCTTTTTGCATCATATTTCGCATGATTTGATCACACGTTCAAAGACAAGGAATAAAGCTTCTACTATCTGATATATTACACCCTGAGTTTTTGGCGAAGAAGCTTCAAGTAGTTCCCCCGGACAATCGCCCCAAAATGAGACGACAATAAAGGAAGTTGAGGGGTTTACTCACTCACCTCACTCACTTGAGGCTGGGTAACATTGACCAAACCTAACCCTAACCCCTAAACCCTAAACCCCTAAACCC